ACTTTTTTTAATATATCCTTAAAAATAAAAAGTTTTTTGTCTAAACCGCAACTAATTTTTTTATTTCATTGTCATTTTTGGGTTCAGCGCCCCAAAATTAACAAAGAAGTGCACTTTTCCCACAAGATACAATTAAAAAACTAAAATTTGTTGTCCAGTGTAATTATAGGAACGATTGACGATACGACCCGTAGCAAACAAACAAAAATCCTGCTTTCTCACTTTTACTAGCTGCAACAAACAGGCGCAATATGAACGAATTTTAAGACCTGACTGTTTCTCCGCTGATTGATTCGCGTGAAGTGTCCCATTTGTTTGTATTAAGTTCCACGATGTTACACAACCCAGGTTTCTTCGAGACGGGTCTGAGCTCCCAAACTTACCGCAAATCGTCAGGGTTGACGAGATAACCGCTGTTGCAGGCGAGTTCGTCCGCACCAGTCGGATCCCCTGGTCTTTTACAGGGATTGGTTGGGAAGCGGGACTTAATCGGTCCAGTTCCTCAACGATGAGATCATCGAAACCAACGTGAGCGCAATGCTTTCAGCCTTTAGCGTCTGTAAATGTTAGACAGCCGCGGGCAAAGATCGCATATTTTCTTGCGAAAAACTTGGGCCACCAGCTCCCTCTCTATTACGAAGATACCTTGGTTGAATAAGCACTGTGGGGTCCAATGACTAATGGACGAAGTTACTTCGATAGCCAACAAGCCTATAGGGAAATGTCGGTGATGTGATAGTATTATCATACAAAACACCATTGAATATGTCGAACTCTGCTCTGTAAAACCGTGTCCACTCTAGGAAGCATCGGTGCCACTGGCTGACAGCAGATGGCGTTCTGCAGCCACAGGGTGTCCCAATATTCCTTGGGACCACGTACTTCTACACTCAAAAACACTCGACCGTAGGACGGGTGCTCTTGTCGCTCTACATCAACGACGCTTCTGGTCCGGACTTGATTGCTGTCGTTATATTGAAGAGGTGTGCAGCGAGCTCCTGGCATTTGGGCTTCTGCCTGCGCGGCTTCTTCGGTGTAAAAAGAAAGATAATCTTCCTTTTGTATTCCTTCTTCGCATCTGTACGGTGATGATGGCGTAGGTAACGTCCAACTTGAACGAGAGGATGAATTTGCACAGTAAAATGTAAAGGTGCCTGACAACACCTAACCACAGTGTCTACACTTCTTTGCACTCTAACTGCAATTGCCCGAAAAGAAAGTCCAGCTTCTCGAAGTCCCACTATACGGCCCCTATCAAACTCACTAAGTTGACGAAATCGTACAGGTCTCCGTACTCTAGGCATCGTAACCGATCGTAAAGGATGTCAAGAACCAAAATCCGCCAACGTTGATTCTTTACTGCGGCTGAAATATTCATTTTTAGAGCGTTAGTGAATTAAAAAAAGCAGTATAAAAACCGGAATGTCCAACAGATAAGGCTGAAAATTTTTTCACTTGTTATTTACAGTAAGATAAATACATTCACCAACTTTTATTAAAATAAAACCATTTAAACTGGGTGTTCGGATTAATATGTCACTTAGTATATTATACTGTATAACTTAATTAAAAGAAAAGACGTAGATGTCGTCGTTGGTGGATAACCGAATTTCTACGCAAAATAAATAATAATTAATCAAAGGAATTTTTATCAGATAGTCTGTATGATCAATTAAGAGATTTTACAAGAATGACCAACGGCTGACTTTGAATACCCGCTAACGTTGGTAACACCAACAATAGTGAAAAATGATACAAAGTTTCGAAAATCTAGAGAACGTTTAGCCATAGCTTTGCGTTTTTAGGCAACTGATCCCATCAGGCTTTTAATCTTTTACTGTGCGTTGCAACACTGTAACTTTTCAATGCTACAATTGATTACTGCCACTATTGCCATTTTTTTTTCGATTTTGAATAATACTCTTCGTGCCTGGCGTCCCACAGTACTGCTAATTTCTCAAACTCTTGTAAGAGCTTTAAAACTTTAGTATTATTGCATTCCATCATTTACTGGACTAAATATACTCAGTGACATTAGAAGTGGTATAGCCAGAGAAAATAAATTCTTCAACTTTTTTTTTCAACATAATGACTATACCTAAAACATCGTGCCCACCTAACAATTATCACTCCTATTAGAGTTGCAAGAATGATTATACAGTATTCCTTAAACAGCATTGTATACTGAACATTGGCAAAACCCTCTTAGAACTGCTATACAAGCGGAATGGGCACACCTAATAGGAAACTTCAGTCATTTAAGAGGTTGTATAAGGGCTGCAGGTAACAGTTATACAACAAAAGTGTAAGCCTCTTGCAGCCGCTATAGGACATTTGCGTCAGTGCAAGATTCAGTTTTTGTCAACTATACAACTATTCTGTTACGTGATTCTACTTTATTGCAACCAAACTATTTCTTATGTATTGTATAGACGAAGAAGAATATATAACTAACACATTACAGTCATCTTGTTTACCTGCATATCGGCCATTGTGAATTTCATACACAGATATATTATAAACTTTCTACACTGTGATATAGGGCTATTGAATTACTTGCGCAGCAAATTTTATTGTGATTATCGTGCAAATTAGTTACGCAATTTCTACGGGCTTCGTATTTGATTCATATTTTGATAACGATCAAAAGTATGTCTAGATTTTTAAGATGGAAAACTGAACTTATCTGCGTTAAATCTTCCACAAATCCTATATTTAGACGCAATTACACTAATGTTTATCTGTAATTTCGAACTGAAACATAATTATTTAATATTAAATAGACGAAAAAATGTTTGCCCAATATGGCGGGTGGTTGTGTATAATCATGGCATCGTCCATGTTGTCTTTAGGTTATTAGAATATTTTGGTGTTGCATGCAGGTGTTATACAACAATTTGACAAATGTCTGAAATGAAATACCGACAGAGTCGAATGATTTACCCAGAATTTGTACCAGATCTATATCTTCTGTTTGAACAGTTGATAAAACATTTTGAACCAATATGCATGCGTTATTTGTCTTAAAACATTGGTTATGGCATTTTAACAAAAATATGACAGCTCCGTTGGGAGCAATTTGTTGGCTAAAGTATTAAGCATCCCACAAACTGGCGCGAAATAATCGCGGCGAAGTATTCACAACGAAATTCAGAGCGAAATTCGCAATCTGTTTCGCCTGTTTATTCATACCAAAGCGTCTTATTCGCTCCGCGAACGTGAAGGTTCCGACAGGTTGCGTACATTTTATTTTTGCCTTTTGCAATGAGCTCGTCTTCAGAAGAAGAGGAGGCACTTCTATTTCTTGCTTTAGAAGAGGAACAAAATGCACGGTAAGTTATGTTTATTTAACGCCATTTGATAGTTGGGTATGTATTAAGTTTAACGAAGTACATAAAACAAATATTTTCAATTTTGTTTAGGAAACGAAGGAAGTGGGTACATGATATTAACTTGGAACGAAATAAATTTGGGGAATACCATACCTTGATGCCACAACTTCGGCTGGATGAACAGCGCTTTTACGTATATTTTAGAATGACTTCAGAGTGTTTCGATGAAATATTGAACTTGGTGAAAGATGAAATACGAAAATCTGACACAAATTATCGTGAAGCTATTTCGCCAGAAGAACGACTTGCTATTACACTCAGGTAAAAAAATTATATGTATTAAAATTAGTAGGCTTATCGAATACGAAAACTTCAGGGATCGTGAAATAAATATTTTATTGTAATAATTGGACTACATGTTGCCACTAGGATTAAATGTTGCTAAATAATTCGAGGCAGAATTTGCCTCCTCTGTTGGGTATATTATTGGAGTAAACCCAGTGCCGCTTGGGAAGGACGACATACTACTATCATACATACTTGCAGAATTCTGGGTAGACGCTGAAGACATTTCTTCAATATGTTCAAATTCTTCGTGCGCTATTAATTCGGCTATTTTTAGTTTTATTCGGGCTTGACGCTTTAAGGGAAGTGTTTTCACAGTCTGTGCATGTGCCAAGAAAAGTGAATCAATGGCCTCGTTCTCTTTTTTAGGTTTTTTACCTTCAAAATAATTAATGAGCTGTTGTACAGACGAAGATGGTGGTTCATAGCGTTTTCTTCTCGTTTTATATTTTGTTGTAGTTGCAGTCAGCGGAAAGGTGTGCCCTGGAGTAGTCACTGCTGTAGTGTTCAATGAAGAAGGTGGTGCTGTCTGTGTTGCCGAGGCGTTCTGTGCATCTTCTGCATCTACATCAGCATTTTCATCTTCTCCATGGCCGCGGTCTTCCAAATTTTCGTTTTCTACATTTCCAGCCCTTTCCTGATATATATTTGAGTTAAATTCGGCAGTCTCATAATGTATGACGTCAATATTTTTCACATTAGACGACGTTTTGGCAAATGCCAAAAAATGACGGAAAAATTCCATGTAGTCAGCCCACTGCCATTTTTTTATGTTGCCCACTGCTTGGCCGGTCTTTGGTTTGGTAGATTTTATATATTTTGCAAATGTGTATCTGATATTCTTCCACCTTTTTTTACTTCATCACCTAAAAACGATTTTTTTTTTATAGATTCCTTGCCACTGGTGACACCTTCTATACCATTGGGCATAGCTTTCGAGTTGGCTTTACAACAGTGAGTGCAATCATAACCGAAGTCTGTGAAGCGATATGCAGACATATGGAGCATATATATTTACCAGAACCAACAGAGAATATATGGAAAAAATGTGCTGAAGAATTTGAAAATAGATGGGGATTTCCCAATTGCATTGGCAGCGTGGACGGTAAACATGTAACAATCAAGAGACCTAACAACAGTGGCTCCAATTACTGGTGCTATTTACATAAATATTCAATAGTACTTATGGCCATTGTTGGCCCGGATTATAAACTTATGTGTTGATATTGGTGGTTTCGGAAAAAATAGTGATGGGGGTATTTTCGAAACCTCAAACATGGGAAAACGATTTGAACAAAATTTAATGAGTGTCCCTGCACCTAGATTTCTCCCTGGGCAAAATGAAATCTGCTCGTACGTCTTAATTGGTGATGAAGCATTTGCTTTAAAACCATACCTTATGAGACCATTTCCTTATAAGCAGACTTTAACAGACATCAGAAAAGAGAAATACAATGTAAGACTTTGTGGAGCTAGAAGGGTCGTGGAAAATACGTTTGGTATTTTGTCTCAAAAATGGCGAATATTTTACAGGCCATTAGAAACTAAAGTAGATACTACTATTCTAATTGTACGTACGGCATGTGTTTTACACAATTTTTTACGAAGTAAAAGTGGCGATGACAAATATTTTCAATTCTTAGATCCCCCAGAACCCGTGCTTGGAGCTTTTACTGATATAGCAAATGATCCTCGGCGGGCAGCAAGGCTAGCATTTTCTATTCGTGACAAATTCGTAAATTATTTTAATTCTGATATGCCTATGCCGAATATATAGAATGTTCGTTTTCACATTTGTGTAGACTGTAAATTATTTAACAAGTTAATAAAAAATATTAGGTACATACCATTTGTATTTAATTCTTTTCCTATTTCCATCCAAATCTTGTCTTTCTTTCTCACATTCCTGTATTCATCGTTCGACAAATCATACAAACAAGGATACTTTTCCACTATTTCTATCAATAATTCCGTTTTTGCCATTGCGAATTTTTGAAGAATGGCGTCAAAAACGCGGTCAAAGGCGAACTGAAATACGCCGCGATAAAAACGCTGGAACAATCGCATTCGCTTCGCACAAGTCTGAGCCTGTCCGTAAACCGCCGCGTTTTAATCTGATCGCGAATTCATCGCCGCGAAATTTTCGCAGCCAAAGCGAATATTTCGCGCCGGTTTGTGGGATGCTGTAAATTGCACAGCAAAACAACAAGGCTCGGGTTTGTTTTATAAACGTTACCATGGATGCCACAACACAACCATTTTGACTAACGTGCAAATATGCCGTATAAAATAGTTGTATAAACGTTTATGCAACAGTTGAAAATTTGCCCTATAAGGTGTTGTATAACTATGCTATAAGAATATTTTAAACACCTCACTTTAGAGCAAATATGTTGCAGAAAGCAAATTGGCATTCCACACAACATTAAGCCAGCATTTTGGTGTTCAGGCAACAACAATAGAGAGCTTTTATGGCTGAACGGTTCTTTTACCAAAAACTTATAACACTACTTTGCTAGTTGGGTGTAGCGACAATGTCAACGTTTTATCTTTGTTTTTGTTTACCTTTGTTAAAACGTTATCTTAGTTTTTGTGAAGAAAGTAGTTTCTGAGAGCTGAATAGTACAGATATTTTCAGTTATTGACACAGCTAATCCACGAGGTTCAGGTTGCTTGGAATGAGATGCCACAATCAGACATCTATCATCCTCCCACCCCACCACTTTATTTTTAGAGATACAGCAAAATTGTGGAACAAAGAAGGTTAACATTATCCTTAACTTTAAAGATCAGATATGTTTTTGTTAGGCTAATATAACGGAATTCACAGAGACATGACTTTTTTAGATTCAAGATCGCAGTTACGTCCCCTAGCGGCCGTTTCAGAAAGTTGAAAATATTTTCCACGTTCTTTTCTTGGTCGTTTTAGTAAGAACTTTTTTGCCGCTAGCCTCTATGATGGATAAGTTCCCAGATTCAGTACCTCGCATTCTTAGTTGGACACCCTGTACAAGTTGTAACAAAGAGGTTGATATTTCAGCAGGAAAAGACGGCTGTGTTGTTTGTATGCGGGCGGATTCCATTTTTTCAATTCATTTTTATAAAATCTCAATATATCCAGTGCCACTGGCCCTCTCACGAGAAATATATACTCGAGGATTGAAAATCTCGTAAATAGAGCAGCGAAACACATCGCCAATCCTAATATCCAATACGAATTTTGCGAATTTTGGCCTGTATGTATGGTGTATCTGAAGTCACTTGAAATAGCATAAAAACCTTTGGTCGGCGCGTCCTTTGTAATTTCATGACGTATCATAGGCGTGCAGTCATTTATTTAGAATGATAATAATAATGTTTTTATATCACAATAAATGGACTTTACTATCTTCTTATTTTTTTGATTTGGGATAAAAAATACTTATATTGGGAGTTTAATTTATGTTGACTGAAAGTTAAGAAATGGAAAAATTACAGAATTCCAACGTTTGACATAGGCAAATATTTACATAGCAGGTAGGTATATAAAAAAGGTATATAAAGACTTACATTATATGTATTTATATATCATCCTCGCCTTCGGAGCTGTCGCTAGAGTCATCTTGTAGAGGAATTACAACGGGATTTACAGGAGGCAAAACACAATATTCATTTTCTTTTTCAATAATATGCCTAGAACACTGCTTCCATAGGTCTGTGGCAGCAATATGAGATACTGCATCTCTTATTGTGGCCAATAGCGATTCACTTAATTGAGGGGTCTGATTATGTTTTCTTACTTTTTTTTAAAGCAGCCCAGACCAACTCAATCGGGTTAAAAATGCAGTAATAGGGAGGTAGACGTAATACTTCATGGCTATTTTGCTGAAGCAGATTGTCAACAACATACTCTTTTTCAAATTTTTGTCTTTTAATAAGATCCAATAATATGGCTTTGGTTTATTTTTGTGGTATTTCCATTCGCTTATCCTTCATAAAATCAATAATGTCTTGTTTTTTTGTGCCTGTATTCGGAATTTTGTTTTTCTGTCGGGAATGGTATGGCGCATTGTCCATAATAATCACTGAATTTGGGGAAATGTTTGGTATTAACTGCTGCTCTATCCACTTTTCAAATAAGTCCGAGGTCATGTCCTCATGATAGTCGGCACATGATTCTTTGATATTTTTGGCAGATAACAGCAAGGCATTAGGTATAAATCCATTTTCACTGCCAGCATGGAGAATAATGATTCGTTTTCCACGGTTGCATGGTGCATTTAAAATGCACTTGTTGCTGTCGTCAACCCAGCCGTACTGCACAACATCATGGGTATCATACCACGTTTCATCCAGGTAAATCAGATTTCTTTTCTGCTCTCTATAGATTTTAACTTTGTGCAAAAATTCTTGGCGCAATTCAACGATTCGAGACGACTCCATAATCACCATTCTTTTATCTAATTTTTTGTATTGAAAACCACACAGTTTTACAATACATTGCAGTGAGTCTAAGCATTTGTAATTATAAAAATCTTGAGGATAATCTTTTAATTTATCCCGTATCATTTCCAACGTGGGCACCAAATTTTCTTTATAAAATCCGTATATTATACGACGAATATCTTCCTGAAAACCCACGTCTATTCTTTTTAATTTTTGCCCTATGCACTTTCTGTGGAAGAAATGGTTGACTACATCTCCCCTTTTTATAACCCGATAAATGGTAGACCAACTGATTTTTGTCAGGATACAAATTCTGTTTAAAATTTGATTTTGCGAGGAATCTGGATTTTCGTTTTTCAGACAATCATACATATTTAGGATTACTCTTTGGGTCTGTTCCTCTAAATCTTTATGAAAGAATTCTGCCTGCACAGGTTCATCAACCATCTCCTCGTGGCTTGGAGCATTTTCCCAAGGTCTCCAAAGAGCCATATTCAGGACACACAAGAACAATCAACACAACAATTAAATCAACAAGTAAACTGAGTATTCAAAAGTCAAAAACACACAAACTAATAAAATCTATGAAAAAATACGGACAGACTAAAGAAAACACGTTTATTCGCCGCTACACGGCACTGGCTAAACAGTTTCAATTTTCAGTAGCCACCTGCACTTGTTCCGAGCTCTGAAATACACGCTTTCTCATTGGCTATGTCCACTAATAGGCGTGCTTTACTCCACGTGGACCGGTGAAACTGCCTTTGATCTCTTATACTTATATTTGCTGCGAAATTTGGCGATTTTTGCAGCAACAGAGCGTGTTAAATATAGATATATAAGACTCACCCGGTATTTCACAGTGTTTCAAGTGACTTCAGATAAAGTATACGTTTGTAACATATGTAACGGAATCGTTGAGCACAAGTTTCACCAATTTCCAGAAGTTTGATTAGTTTGAACAAGTTTTCCATTATTCTTATTAGGAACGCTAGGATTGATAAATTCTTTTATACAGGGTGTTTCAGTTTATTGTTGCATAACTTTACGATTCGATAGAACTTTTAAAATTAATGCATAAAGTCTATATAAACATGGGTCGAAAAATGCGTGGCTTCCGAAATACAGGGTGTTTAAATTTACTTTCTAAAATAGTTTTTTTTTGAATATTTCGAACAATATTCGATGTATAACAGTGAAAATTGGTATATAAGAGTTTTATGGTACGACAAAACGAACCATGGGCATAGTTTTACTGTAGCCGCTAGAGGGCGCTCACTACTTTACCTGTAGTGTATTAAATTTTTTTTTGTGTAATTTTTTGCTTTTTGAATAAAAAAACTGATTCTCCGCACTTTTCAACATAAAAAAGCTCTCTTGTGAGTTTTCGTTATAGTTAGCCGTTTTTGAGATATTTCGATTTTTAAGGTTCGATGCATTTTTTATTATTTATGGGAAAATAATATTTTGTTTTACATTTTCGATTTGGGCATTACAAGTAATTAAGATGATAGTTTAGATTGCGTTTTTAAACACAGCAATAATTCCTAACTCCAAATAAACACAAAAAACTGAATATTAATTGTTTTAATTTTCCAATATTATTTTTAACAAATTAAATTAATTATTTACAAATAAAATGCGATTGGATTTTTTTTTTTTTGAATTATTGTTCAATACACAATTCACATCTACGAATGATCGAACGTGGTATAGGATTCTTCAAATAAGGCCTTATTTCATCACATGCATTCCTGATTCTGTCTATTAGCATATATCTTGCGATTACGGGAGTCTGGTACACTTTTTCTTTTAGAAATCCCCACACAAAGAAATCTAATGGATTTAGGTCAGGGGATCGTGGAGGCCAGGCGACTGGTCCTCCACGGCCGATCCACCTTTCTGGATAATTTTCGTCCAGCCAGTTTCTAACTATTCTCGAATAATGAGCTGGACAACCATCAAGCTGGAACCAGGCCAATCTTCTTAAATCTAACATAACATCATCCCACATATTTGCATGTTCAGCCT